GTATGGCGAATCATTCGACTGTAGTGTGGCACAATTTTGCCCTTCTCGGTCTTGGCGTGAAGGAATTGCTAATATGAGTCTTGGTTTAAATACCAATTGGGCAGATTACATTGACATCCTGGCTGTGCACATATCATGCTTGCTTTAATTTTGGTACCATTCCCCTTTAATTTTTTCAGTTTTGTTAATTACAATTTCCCTTCGACCAGGTTTCCCGATAAAATTCACAAATAGTCCATAGCGGAGAGTTCCATACTCGGACATCACTCATCTTTTGCACAAGCCATAGCCATACGACACTGGTCTGAAAAAGGTAAATGTTTTGATATTTTCCCTGCTAAATTTGACTTTTTAAAGACATTTTATCGCTTTCTGGTGGGAGATACACCACTTACAGGGAAAAGTGAATGTCTGTGGGGACCCTTACCGTTGATAGTCATTTTATTAGCTTCCAGAATAAATTCTGTTAAGGGTCATTGTTTTTATATCAAAATAAATGGCCATAAAAGACAGTACAATTTAAGTGAAGAGCCTTGATATCAAACAAATCCATTTTCCCTGTTTTATTGCAAAATATGTGGCCAAATGCCAGCCCTTTGAAATTAACTACAAACCTACATAACAGTTTGAAAAGTTATCAGAACAATGTTTGTGTCTCTGATTCCAAAGACCGCCATTGTTACAGAGAAAGGCGGCCTTTTCTCTTGTAAATAATGGACCAAGCATTTCAGAATAATTATTTGCTGAACTTGAAATTCATAAGATACAATTTGTCCCATTATTCTTAGCCAACGGCAGAAGAAAATTGCAGTCGAAGATTTGGAGCCTTTCTCTAGTCTTGAAGTCTGTGATGTTGAAGCTGTGAGACGGACCAACTGATGTATGAAGCCGACTTAAGACATCTTGCGTCACAGGGTCAACCAACTAACATCTAAGGAATCCAAGGCTGCTGGGCACATCTTGCGTTCAGTCTTGTATTCACACATCGATGACTTGGTCCAACCTGCCAGCGGTGCACGTTACTAGAAAGAGCAAATGAAGAAAATAAATGTACATGTATTAATTTAAACATTTAACACTTAGTTATTCAATTGCAATCTCCAAGTGAAAGCTACTACAAAGCTGATATTTGAAGTCAATGATTCTCCAGAAAACTTGACCTGGACTCCACAATTTCAAAGATAAAATGAGGAAAATTGGAAGTATTTCAAAAGGTGGATCTCCAGCCCTTCTATAGGTCAAACTGACTTTCTAGCCATTCTGGAAGCACATGAATTCCTGATTAATTACTCTGAACTACTATGCAAAAGCACTGAAGGTGTGGTAAATCTCTAATTCTCACCCAACAACCTCATCCAAAAGCCTTCCTGGTTAAAAATTTTATTTATTAAGAGTCCCTTGTGATATTTGATCAGCTTCCAAACAAGACACTGCATTTCAAATGTTTCTCTGCTCTTTATTGGACATAATTTTTCTCCGAACTGCCAGATTACTTTTTGTATTTGTTGAAATGAAATTCATATTTTTTTTTACGAAATTGAAATAGAAAAAGTTTTAGCCACATCCATTTGTCTGAAAAGGGGAACTTTTCCAGCTGAACTTTGAAATAAAGTATTAAGTATCCAAGTTTTTCCCTTGTGAGTTAGATTACTTCTTAAATGCCTAATCTGTTGATGCTTAGCGAAAGGGCACTATTGTTGATCTCAATTTACATTCACAAGAATTAAAGCAGGAATAATTCCGATTACAAATCTGATATTATGTTGTCGCAGCGCCGTGTTTTCAGGCAAATTTATGCACACTGGAGTAACTTTCACGAGTGCAGTGTTCGAAGCTTTCAAAAGATAATATTCAGACTTTAGGCAGGTAACACAATTTCAGAGCATCATTTTTACCTTGTCAAGTGATCTCTGATAGCCAATAACACTTCCACAGGAGTTTCAGTGATGCGAAGAAAGTGTCACCTCTTCATTGCTGCTTATAGCAAAGATGAAAAAAAATGAAACAATTCCAAAATTAGAAAAAAGTGAAGTGTGTGGTTGAGGAACTTCACCTTGAACAAATTTAGTGGATGAAAAACCTAGTTTNAGAATTCCAAAATTCGCCCGGATAAAAAAGTTGGCTTTTCAGGACCGGCTGGTTCCACGCTAAAACTTTCTCCCACCCGACGTTGGTGGCGCTATAACATTGAAAGTCCACCTTAGTTCGAGAGCATGCAGTGCAGCTGTACATGTTTACGTGTGTATATCAGCATACGGTGTGCTGTCGAGAAAACAAATTCGCAGTTTCATTTTTTAAACTTTCATATGAAATTTTCAAATAGATATTATCTGTTTATACACATTTTCCCAATGTTTGTATGTTCATCCCCTGCCACAGCGGTTTCAATCTCTGTTTTTAAAAATCCTAAACATTCTATCCTTGTATATTTTCCATGAACAAAATCCTTTCTAATTCATCGGTCACACTTTCTAAGGTTGCACTTGAATATTATTTGTTCCTTTTCCTAACGGGCAAAGCCTTTTTGCTATTTTTAGTAATATACACGGCATTTTGTACCACGCGATACTGGTTCCCGCCTATGCAAGCCAAACATCACGTAAAAACGGGCAACCAGCTTTTTGGACCGTAAAGAAAATCCGATTTGGACCGCCGATGTGGTCATTTTTGTACACGGCCGATTGTGCACACATGTATACAGCACAGCGAGCTACAAAATTGGCCATTTCAGCGTTTCCACCAGACCTGCGCATTGTGCACAACCGTATGGCGTGCGCTGTACTACATAAACAGCCATATCGGTGGTTCCCATTGCTATGTGCGTAATGCACGGCCCTGGCGCCGTGACTTTCAATGTTATAGCGCCACCATCGGCGGGTGGGAGAAAGTTTTAGCGTGGAACCAGCCGGTCCTGAAAAGCCAATTTTTGTTTTCGGGCGAATTTTGGAATTTTGAAACTATAGTTAGATTTGTTATGTAATTTCCTCTGCAAAAAGTATCATTTTGTTGCCTGAAATGCTTTTAAAGGCGAGTTTTTCGATATTTTCTGCTTCAATTCTCCCCATTGTTGCTCACTCAAGCGTAACGAAAGATAGCGGCGTCTAATCCTCTGCCAAGCCTCGAATGTTTTTATTGTTCAGGGGAGACTGGACAAAGGAACCCAACAAAAGAATTGGTCTCTTTCTCAGTCAAAGTACCGTTTTTTAACGTGTGTGCAATGGGGGCCCAGATTTTAAACGCCTTGTATTCGCCTCTAACTTTGACTTGTATTCCCCGTGCAGTCTAAGGAAGGTGTCCTGTCCCTCAAAATTCCCTTCTCGCCACACCTCCCCCTTCTATTCCTATTGGCTGCCTGCCCACACGTGGTTTGTTTTATGTCATCGCTTATCCATATTAATTCTTGTCATTTGTAGTCGGGTCTTTAGCCGAGAGGCATCGCATGATCAGTTGCTCTAGCTACTTCCAACATGACGGGCATTTCCACCGTGTCGTCGACCCTAAACCTGCCATGCTTATTGCCGTTACTTCTAATTTTGTTATTCCCTCCATGGTTATGTCGTCAGGTTTCATCAAACAGACCCTCTGCACAAGAAGGTAAGCACTTGAGCATCGTTTACGGCCCATGGGTATGGCGATTCATTCGACTGTAGTGTGGCACAATTTTGTCCACGGTCTTGGCGTGAAGGAATTGCTAATATGAGTCTTGGTTTAAATACCAATTGGGCAGATTACATTGACATCCTAGCTGTGCACATATCATGCTTGCTTTAATTTTGGTACCATTCCCCTTTAAATTTTTAAGCTTTGTTAATTACAATTTCCCTTCGACCAGGTTTCCCAATAAAATTCACCAATAGTTCATAGCAGAGACTTCCATACACGGACATCACTCATCTTTTGCACAAGCCTTAGGCATATGACACTGGTCTGAAAAATGTCAAGTATTTTCCAAGTAAATGTTTTGATATTTTCCCAGCTAAATTTGACTTTTTAAAGACATATTATCGCTTTCTGGTGGGAGATACACCACTTACAGGGAAAAGTGAATGTCTATATGGGGACCCTTACCGTTGATAGTCATTTTATTAGCTTCCAGAATAAATTTTGTTAAGGGTCATTCTTTTTATATCAAAATAAACGGCCATAAAAGACAGTACAATTTAAATGAAGAGCCTTGATATCAAACAAATCCACTTTCCCTGTTTTATTGCAAAATATGTGGCCAAATGCCAGCCCTTTGAAATTAACTACAAACCTACATAACAGTTTGAAAAGTTATCAGAACAATGTTTGTGTCTCTGATTCCAAAGACCGCCATTGTTATAGAGAAAGGCGGCCTTTTCTCTTGTAAACGAATGCACCAAGCATTTCAGAATAATTATTTGCTGAACTTGAAATTCATAAGATACAATTTGTCCCATTATTCTTAGCCAACGGCAGAAGAAAATTGCAGTCAAAGATTTGGAGCCTTTCTCTAGTCTTGAAGTCTGTGATGTTAAAGCTGTGAGAGGGACCAATTGACGTATGGAGCCGACTTAAGACATCTTGAGTCACAGGGTCAACCAACTAACGTCTAAGGAATCCAAGGCTGCTAGGCACATCTTGCGTTCAGTCTTGTAACCACACATCGATGACTTGGTCCAACCTGCCAGCAGTGCACGTTACTAGAAAGAGCAAATGAAGAAAATAAATATATCAATTTAATCATTTAACACTTAGTTATTCAATTGCAATCTCCATGTGAAAGCTACTACAAAGCTAATATTTAAAATCAATGATTCTCCAGAAACCTTAGCCTGGACTCCACAATTTCAAAGTTAAAATGAGGAAAATTGGAAGCATTTCAAAAGGTGGAGCTCCAGCCCTTCTACAGGTCAAACTGACTTTCTAGCCATTCCTGAAGCACAG